GTGTCGGGCGAGGCGCCCTCGCCTCGGGTGGGCGAGGTCGCCCTCGCCTAAGTCGGGCGTGGGCGACCCTCGCCCGACAGCCGCGAGGGCGACCTCTCTGGGCCGGCGAGGGCTTCCCTCGCCCGACGCCGGCGGGGCCGGCCTCGCTGTCGCCGGCGAGGTCGGTCGCCCCTCGCCGGCCATGGGCAAGGCCGCCCTCGCCCGGCCCTTCCCAGGCTTCACCGGTGGGCGGCCGGCCACCGCAACCGGCCGGCGAGGGGAGAAAAGAAAAAAAAGAAAAGAAAAGAAAAAGGAAAGAAAAAAAAAGGAAAAAATTATTTAAAATTAAAAAATGCTGACTGTACATGCTTACTCAGCCTCCGGCGAGCCACGTCGGCGTAAAAAATGAATAAAAAATGTCACGTCGGATTTCCGACTAAATTGGCACCAAAGTGAACTATTTTCCTCCGACTTGGCACCAAAGTGATCCGAAAAAAAGTTATGGCACCAAAGTGATTGCCGTACACAAGTTATGGCACTTGTGATGTACTTTTGCCCATTTTTGTGTGTGTTGATGGATCTCGAAGCATCTGGCCTTGATGTAAGGAATGGTTGTATTCCTTAGACTAATAGTTATACACCTATAGATGCAAATTGCGACACTGTATGAGATAGAGAAGGATCTCCAGCCCCAAGAAGTTGGATGCATATCCCCTACATCTTTATTGTTACTTAAATTTTTAATTTGAAAAAAAAAAACCAATAACATGTGTGACAACCTCAAATTTCAACCCTATTCAGGATGTAATGAATGATTATTTCATCAATGCATAATGAGTAGAATTAGGCTCTGAATTGATTCTTGAATCATTCAAGAGTATTCCAAGCTTTGGGAAAGGCGAATTAAGACTTCGTTGCGTGCAACCAAAGCACTCAATCATGGATTGACAGTTCGACCATAAAGATCGTTGAAAAACAACCATAAACCATTTCAAGTCGATCCAGGAATGGTTATAGATCGATTCGACAATAGTATAGAATCGGATTGCGAGTGATTCCGTACGATTACTATATTGATTCCAAATGACACTAGACCAATCCTTAATGATCGTATGCTTCGAAATGGGCTATTGACCCCTCACGATTACATGACAACCAAGGGTCATCCATGGATTGAGAATGCTTAAACGTGAATTGATTTGGAATCAACTACGGGTTAAACACACAAAACCCTTAAAAGCCGCCCATTGTTCTAATTATGTGAAAGACGCATTTGAATGATTTTAATCACGAATTCTAATCCAGTTGAGGGTATTGGACTCTAGACGATTAAAAGACAATTATTGGAAAAATTCTGGGAATCGCTTATTTATCAGTAAACTGAGAAACCTTGGAAAAGTGAAATTCGGGCCGGAAATTGGGGCCCGCAAGGGGGCCCACGAATTTCTAAGAGCCCAATGGACCTCATGGACTATATAGTCTGCCACGAGGGTCCAATGGAAGGGAAATTACGATTTTGCCCTTTTGGGCCCAAATTAAGAAGTTTTGAGAATTTGTGCCAGAAAAGCCCGAGACGAGAAGCTCACAAGGAACTAAGCCCAATGACAGGGCCCAAGGAGGATTTCGGCCCAAGAAGAATGGGCTTAGCCCAAGTTTAAGCCCATTAAGCCTTTGAAGTCCATTAACCTTTTCAAGCCCATTTCTCTTCAAATTTGGTCCGTTCAAGCCCAAGCCCAAGTTTGTTGGCCCAACCCAAGCCTGTGTGAATAGTGCACATGAATAGTGCCATGAATAGGTCAAGGGCTGAAATTACCAAAATACCCCTCTCATCTTCTCTTAATTACCAAATTACCCATTCTAGAAGCTTTTGCAAGATGGAATCCTAGCCATCGATCTTGGCTTGGTGAGCAAGAGTTAATCTTGGCCATCCATTCTTGATTTTTGTTGCAAGACGCTCCTCCTCATTTCTCTCATTTTCTCTCTCTCACGTTTTTCTCTCCCTCTCTTCTTTGCTTCCACCTTCGGCCACCACCATCACCGCCCCTCTAGCAGCTGGTTTTGTCACCGTGGAACCACCACCGAGCCACCAGCCGTGCGCCGTGATCGCCCGTCGCCGTGTGCCGTCCGTCCGGGCTGTTCCCGTCGCCGATCCGCCTAAACCGCAAGCCAACCAGCCCTCACCGAAGCTGTTGGCTGCTGTCCAAGCTGTCCATCGTCATCCCATGTCGTTTCCGGACCAAGCCACACGTAGCCCTCGTCGCCGCCTTCGCGCTCGTGTCGTCGGAATCGTTTCCAGGTGAGTTAACGCTCTAATCCCTTGATTAGTATGTTAAACTTGCTTAGGGTTAGATTAGACTAAGTTAATCTTGTTTAGTGCTAATTAATGAGGGATTAGTTGATAAGCTACCGCGATAAGTGATAGGCAGAAGTGATAAGCTATTGCGATAGGTGATAAGTGGACTTGATAGGTTATCGAGAAAATGTGATAAGCTATCGTCAAATGGACGATAAGTTATTGAGAAAATGATTGATAAGCTATCACCAAAGGGGTGATAGGCTATCGGGCATTTGGTGATAAGCTATCACCAAAGGGGTGATAAGCTATCGAAGAAATGTTGATAAGCTATCACCAAAGGGATGATAAGCTATCAGGAATTTCATGATAAGTTATCGCCGAATAGGCTATCGAGAATTGGATGATAAGTTATCGCGAGGGGAGCGATAAGTTATCGATTATTATTTAATGAGTTATCGCAACTAGGCAATAAGTGATAGTGAATTGTGGTGATTCTATGCATGTTTTATGTGCTTTCAAGCTTGTGATGCCTTGAAAAATACTTGCTCATTTTATAAACCTTGTTTACTAATTTTTACAAGGGTTTTTAAGCACATATAAGTGGAAAAACCCAAGGTGTCGGGTTTATATGTCCGGTTTTATGAATTAAATGGAGCAAGGATGTTTAAAAAGGAAATCGTACAAAGTTTGATGGGTTGATTGTGTGTATGTGATCACATGTGAATTTATTACTGCATTTTTATGTGTGGAAGTTACAGTAATTTGTTGTGTGAGCACGAACCATGTTTGCATTTGGCTAAATGCTGAGATATAAATAAATTGTGTGTTTGTTGTGCTCGTGTGATCACATAAAGAAACCTGTCACCCAGCGGGGGTTTGGGGATGCAATGCGTGACATTGTGCGAAAAGTGAGTGCAATATGTGACATTGTGCATAAGAGAATAGCACATCATATACTTTTTACATTGGCTAAATTCAAAGATAAAGAATTGGTTTGAGTGGATGGTATGCCTACATGGTCACATGAAAGTTCGTCTAGGCGGGAGTTCTAGACGATGCCGTGTTGCGGTTGAGGCCGAACCGATACTCCTTATGGAATGCCGTCTAGGCGGGGGTTTCAGACATTGCCGTGCCCGATGGAGCGGGACGATGCCCGGTTATGCCGGAAGACACCGGCGGGGGTTGAGTTGTGGCCCTGAGTGGTCGTTTAATAGAGGACTATTATGAGTGCAACGTGCATGGATGAATGCATTGTGCCTGAAAGTGATAATTATATGTGTCTGGATTATTAAATTAATGTTGTGATTGCTTATGCACTATGATATGCCTCTGGTTTATGCAATTATGTGATCTTGTTATATGCTCATTGGAGCGATTGTAGAGTTATGATGGTTAGTAGAGAGCCAACCTGATGCGAGTAACGCGGGTTGTGCCGTGGCCCTGTAAGGTCGTAGTAATCGAAACTCGCGTGAAAGAGTATGTTGCATTGCACCTGATTATGGGATGAAATTGTGAGGTATGGTATGTGACGGGTCAAAATGGTTTCACTTCATAATTAGGACTCGTGTGGATACCTTGTACATGAGAATTGCTAAGCGTGTTCTGATTGTATTATGTGCTTGTTGCATTATGATTGCACATGTTTGTTTATTATGTACAGTGCGTGTGTGTGCCAAGGTAAGGTAAGAATGCCTGCGATTGTTTAATGGCACGTTTGTTTATGCTGGGCCAGGTAATCTGCTTGTGTTTATAGTTAAGGCAAAGTAGGGGTTGCTTTGCTATTGATCTGCCATCGATAGGTTGCTGCATGTTTAGGAGCGCCCGAGGCGAGTTGACTTCCTAACCGAGGCTTAGGTTGTTAACTTACTGAGATTTATCTCACTTGTTGTTGTTAACCATTTTTCAAGTGCTCAGCTATGAGTACGCGTTGCGTTCCATGGGAACCGGCTGTTTTGAGGGGGAACATCTTTTGAGGTTGCCATCGTAGATAGATGAGCTAGGTTAACCCCCTACCTTTTGTGATTGTAATCGAGAAGGTCTGCATAGCGGACTTGTAATATGTTAACCCGATGTATTACTGATGATGTTGTATATATTGAGGTATGTTTTTCTGACTATCCATGTTGTTGTGATTGGGTGGATTATGATTGCTTTTGCTTGCGTTTAACTCAAAGTTAAAATGAATGGATCGGCGGCGCGTCTTGAGACGTCGCAATTCCACGACCAAGGAACGATGTTCGCGTGCTCGAGGGTTCGGGGCGTGACATCCATGTTGAATTAGTATCAGAACAAGGTCAGCTCGATCAGAATTTGGTCGATACCTGGAGTGATAAGGTGCAAATGGTATTGGGATAGTTAGTAAAGAAAACCTTCTTTGATCGCAAGTTTAGAATGTAATGCCTGTATTGTGATTGTTTGGCTGTTTGTGATTGGATTACGTCTTATGTTATATAAGGTGTTTGTTTGTGATTCGCTGCTTAAGGTTAATTGACTTGAGTAGGCGATTTAGGTCTCTAATTCCTTGAGGGAATTATAAAACAGGTTTCGTAAGAATCCTGTAAGATGAACAGCCTAGGAAGAGGAGCTCGAGGTTAGTCTAGTTCGCAGGTGAGAGCCCAAGAGGACCCTCGTGTGGATGGGTTTCTGCGAGCTCTTGAAGCGATGGGAAACTTGATGGGTCAGTAGGCTCAGGAACGAGCTGCTGCTGCTGCTGAGGCTGCTGCCAATGCTGCTGTTGCTGTTGCACAAGCTGGTTGAGCAGTTTCTAAAGCTGAAACCGTCTAAGTTTGGTGGGACGGGTGATCCTGAGGCTGCAACCCTTTGGGTCAAGGAGCTGGAGAAAGCTTTTGCACTCCTGAGGTGCTCAGAGGAGGACAAGGTAACACTGGCGATGTATCAACTATAGGGTAATGCTAGTGACTGGTGGGAGGCCACTCGAGGAAGGATCTTTCCTGAAGGCACAGTCCCGAGCTGGGATGCCTTTGTTGAAGTCTTTAATGGTAAGTACTTCTCCGAGTGTGCTCGAGAGCAAAAGATGGCGGAATTTCTGCGACTTCGCCAGAATCATTTGTTAGTCGATCAGTATGAGGCTGAGTCCGCAAAGCAATCAAAGTACGCGCCAAGAATGACCAAGGACCCAGTGGATAGGGCAAGGAGATTCCGGGATGGTCTTAAACTGGAAATCCGAAGTCAGTTGGTGCCCCTGAACCTTAAGGACTACAATGAGCTATATGAGAATGCCCAACTGATTGAGAGGGATATGGTTGAGAGGGCAACTGCATCTGGATCGTGGTATGCCCCAAGTCGAGGTAACCATTGGTTTAAGAAAGAGCCGATGACTAGAGGAAAACACCACATCCCTCCCAACAGGAAGAACGACATTGGGAAGCCGGCATACAACCCAAGTAACGTGTGCCGATTCTGTGGGAGGAGGCATGGGAATAGCCCTTGCCCAAGTAGGACTGGAGCTTGCTATGGATGTGGCCAGCATGGTCATCAAGTGAGAGATTGCTCGAACTGACCAACTAGGCCACAAAGGCAACCGCAACAACCACGAGTGGGACCACAGGCTAGGAACACTCCGCCGAATAATCTGAACCGACTACAGGCATAGGAAAGAGTGTATGTTGTAACTAGTAGGGGTGTCAATGGGTCAGGTCGGGTCGGGTCGAGTTTTCATGATACCTAACCCAACCTGAAACAATGAATATGTGTGCTTGACCTGACCCGAAACAAAATCCGAACATGATATAGCTACACGATCGGGTCGGGTTCGTGTTTTGGATTTTTATTATAAATTAAGGTTAAGTTACACCCACAATCGCTTAGGAGTCCCACATCTCCAAAAACCTCGAAGATTCATAATATGGCGTACCTCAAGGGTTTTCTATATAAACAGTCAAGTTCCCTGTTAAGTGGCATGGATCCATATGACATGCAAACAGGCATTTTGACTTTTCTGATAGATTCACAAATAGTTTGTGAATTTATAAACAAGTTTTAAACTCATCCTGACCATGGGATTAATATCTGGCCTTTGAATTGTCAAACACAAGAATGCAGAACAACAAACACATTCCTTTCTTCTTCTTTTATGGATAACAAGAGTTAAGAAGCCCAAAGAGATACTGTCAAGTGATATAGCAAAAAGGGAAAAAGCTGAACAGAGGGGCATCTGACTCCTAAACCCCACATGTAATATCTCGTATCTACGGATCAGCGGCATAGCATGTGACAAACATCAAACAACTAAACTAAAGGCCAAACGAGAAAAATCCAATGACTATACACCATCACACCATTGTAGTTGCAGTACACGACTGCTCGGGCCCGATCACAACTTAGGAATGATCAATCACAAAAGTGTAATGGCAGAATTCCTAATTGCCCCGACCAAAAGCATAAAAAGTAAAGCAGGTGAAAATAACCCCACATCAGAGATTTGGAAAGAAAGGAAACCATTCTTCAGTAAGGTCAACCTGCAAGTAAGAAATGAAGAAGACCGCAATTACTAAATGCCTAATCTGAATATGAAAAAGTAAATTTGCAATAAATAAAAAAAATTGGTTTAGCAAGTACCAATTTCCAACTTCGTGAATCATCAAGAGAAATCGATATCGAGTTCGGCTCCATAATTGTAGTTGAACACTCTGCATTAAATTCACAATCAAAATGAGAACTTAAGTATCCATTGTAATATAGAAAAGAATAAATATTCCATGATTATGTTTTCTGACTTGACTCAAATTTTTCTTGTTCTTCTAAGTCAGCCTCAATTGAAAGTGAAAGTGACGAGGATTGTAGGCAATCTTGAGCACATATAAGACCCTCCACCATACTTGGGGTCAAGGAGCTACGAAAGACATCAGGTACACGACCTCCTGTGCTGCATGCGGCCTCTGATGCTACAGTCGAGATGGGCACAGCCAAAATATCTCGAGCGATGGAAGAGAGGATAGGATATCTCGAAGAATTAACTTTCCACTAAGTTAAGATATCAAAGTCGGGGCTATAACGTTCACATCCTTCCTCCAAATATTTATCCAATTCTGATTTTTCTTCCAAAATTTATTGTCCCGTTTGGCTAAGATACTTTGCAGTCATAAAGTCCGCACCAACCATGGGAGACTTTGACACATTTACTGTTCTTGTACCCTTTAATCTAAAATTGCCTTGGGAGCATTTACCGGTGCGGTATTGCTCGTACAATGATGTCAGCGATGATGTTACTTTATCATGTAAAATTTCTGCTTGCTTGCTCGCTCTCATAAACATCATTAATCAACCATTTCACATATTCCCACTTATATCGAGAGTCAAATATGCAAGCAATGAACAAATTAAGATTGATGTTGTTCACATTGCCATAATACTTATTGAATTTGGTCTTCATTCTTTTAGCCATTTCCTGCAAACTTTTATCCTCATTCTCACATTATTCATTGATCATCCCAAAAAGCTCATAGACATCCTTTGCCAAATCATTACTAGTGACATAAAAGAACCCGAAACTTTTGAAGTCGTATCAAATAAGAACTTCAGGAAAGGAAGAAGGTGACGAGCATAATCCCAATCATCACCAGTAGACAATCCTTTCGCCTTGGACAGTTCTTCAACAAATTTGCTATCTTGAATTTCCAATAAGAAAAAAAAAATTTGAAACTTCAAAGCCGCCTCCAACATCATATATGTCGAGTTCCAACGAGTCTCCACATCCAAACATACAAGACTCTTGGACTCAATATTCTCTAGTTCAACACAATCTTTAAACTGTCTCAACCTCCCAGGAGAAGACCTCACATACCGTACAGCCGAACGTATTCTAACAATGGAAGCATTTATGTCTTTTAACCCCTCTCTCACAATCAAACTCAATATATGAGCAAAACACCTCATGTGGAGTAACTCACCTCTCATTATCAGAGTGTTCTAAGAATTAAGTCTTCTTTTCAAGTATTGAATTCCTAAATCATTTGAACTTGCATTATCCACGATGATGGAAAAAATACTTTGAATCCCCCAATTAGTCAAACATTTCTCAACCGCCTTTCCTATTATCTCGGCAGAATGACCGGGGATTTGACAAAAAATTAGAATTTTCTTCTGCAACTTCCAATCAGCATCAACAAAATGAGCAGTGAGAGACATATAAGTCAAATTTTTACAAGAGGTCCATGTGTCGGTCGTCAAACAAACTCTAAGACATGTGTCGGCAAAATATTTCATCAATTTTGTTCTTTCCTCCACGTATAATGCATAACAATCACTCCTCAACGTGTTACACGTAGGGATTGAGAACTTTGGCTGGATTCTATACACAAATCGCCGAAAATCCTCATTTTCTACAAACTTAAAGGGCAATTCATCAAGAATGAACATGATCGCTAGTTCTTTTCTACTAGCATCTTGGTCAAATTTTCATGGTGAAGTACCAACCCCAACAGGTTGACCCGAGGCATTTTTTTTGCCTTTTCTCGATGTTTGCATATGAATATTCGTTACATCTATATAAATGATGATGCATTGAACTAGTCCCTTGAGTACTAGAACAACCAATGTGGACCCCGCAATATAGACATTCAGCCTTTTCTTGATTCTTATATGTACATGGAATCCTTTTAAAGTGATCCCACATAATGGATCTCTTCCTTCTATTTGTGAGGCTAGAATCCGTCGATGAAGACATCTAGCAATCAGCAAAAATAATTAACATTCAAGAATCAACAAAAACCATCATTGCCATAGAAAGTTGACATAGTAAATTAAAGTCTATCTCAAGAGCAAGCATGAACAGCTTCAAAATAATGAATTACCTCATGAACCTGATTTCGTCGTATTACCATTTTACATCACTAAAGAGCTTTCGGTCCACTGATCATTTTCAAGGCTCTATCAAGGCTGATGAGTCGAAGGAACGTGCAAACTTATGCGTATTTCAAGTGTTGATGGGTGATCTCAAGGAAGCGACCTCATGGATTGACAAGCTAGAGAAAACTTTTGCGTATCTGAGGTGCTCAGATGTGGATGATACCTCTATAAATGAATCCACATGAGAATGGAACTCTCTAGTAGGTGTGTAGGTTTGGAGGCAAACCAGAGGTAAGCTGGTGGAACTGTAACGACCCGATCCGAGGAGGGCGGGGAGTGGTCACCGGGGCCAAAGGGCCTGAGCAAGGATCGAATCCTAGCAGGCTTCTAGGATGGCGAAGGGGGCAGGATTAAATAGCCAATCTTAGTCAAGTTCAAGAAGTTCATCACTATTTTCGATGCATTAGAATCCCTACCTACCTAACCTCAATATGTGTTTTTTGAATGATTCTACCAAGCATTGCTAGAGCACATAACTTTCTTACGTTGCTAACTAAGCAAAATGGCTAAAAAGCTGTAGAATACCTTTGTAGGTTTCAGATACACATATTGAGGTTAAGATATTAAGTGTCATACTCAAATATAACCTTGCGTAAGTGACTATGACGACATACGCAATGACAAACGGTCTAATCAATAAAGAACTGGCCGCTTGAAAACTGACAAAATCGAACTGTCCCTCGACTACTGTTGGAATATTCCTGCAGATGCATGCATGAAGCCTTCCCCAAAAGAGACAGAGAAACGAATGTGCTAGATGTGTGTTTCACTCTTAGGATCTCTTCAATTTACAAGAACGCAAATCCTCCAAACATATTCCATAAAGAAAAATTCACTTCATGTGTGAGGCGTGTTTTGGGCCGACTTAAGAGAAAACTTTGATGCGCAGGTAGATAGGTACGCAAATTCGATAGTATCTTATAGAGTAAAAGGGTGACTAGGGAGGTCGAGAGGACATGAGTATGCAAATTCGAACGGTCGCCTCTCATGTGGAGGGCGACATGCGGCTTTTTGGAGCTGTTAGCGATGCAACTGCTGTTTCATAGTAAAATATAGGACAATCAGGGACAAGCTCGAGTTTTCGTCGCTAAACGAACTGGATCTCCAATCATGAATTTTATCTTCGTTGCTGAATGCTCGAGCTTTAGTATGTTAAAATGATTGCTGAAGGGGTAATTCTGTTAACGTGCTGCGGAAAACAAGTGATTGAACAATAAAATGAACAAAATGAGAACATAAATCGGACTCTGGTTTTATGTTGCTTAGTCGGTAAGACTTGCTTCATATGGAGAGCGGCACATAATTCCATTGTAAATCAAATATACAACTACATTCGAGTAGCTCAGACATTCTCAGTGCTTCTTAGCCCCAAATTACAACCAATACCTCACACGGTGTTTAGCTTTCACAATTCCTTACGAAATAATCTCTCAATCCCACAAACGAATCAAACAAATCCTATCACAAAATTTATTCGGCTTCAACATTCATGGATTACTTTAGGGTTAAGTTCACGACGAAGCGGTCTCTTAGATTCTCTTCATCAAGAAGACCCACTTTTCATATAGAAGAGAATTGGATCCAAAATAGGACATCTTTTCAAGAAACCTACTCCCACTAGGAAACCTATTCAAATTTGGGAAACCTACTCGG